ATGATGCCTCAGTTACTTTGCAGGCATTGAGGGCTGACCCAGTATCTTGGCTATACTCTCATCCTGTCTGGAATTCATAGTGCTTGGGTTTTCCAAGGTTCTTATGTTTAGGAATTCTAAGTAGCAGGGGCAGGCCAAAGCTTGGGCTTAGTCTTTCTGAACAAACCTTTCCAAGCATGACCTCACATAGCTAAGCACACCTGTTTCCTGCATTTGGCTTTAATTCTCTGACCCAGCCTAGCAGGTGCAAGGCAGATACCAGATGGTTGCCCACTCAGCAGCCTCAAGTCTAGCCTTACTCCTCCCATTCACATTCCTCCAAGACAAATGTATTTTATAACTGGTGGGCAAGAGTTCTCTGGATTGACTAAAAGGACAAGAAAATAAGGGAGTAAGCAGAGCCTCGGTCAGGAAGAATCTGTGATAGACATTCATAGACAGAGAGAACAGGGAGGCCCAAGCACGGGAACCTAGACACAAATTCCCCCACTGCTTCTAATATTCCCTTAGATGTGTCCAGTGACTAACCATATATATCCACCACAGTCATCTTTCAGTACAGGCTAAGAATATTAAATGATAGTCAATGCTATCAGGGTTGGGCCTTGAGCCACCACCAACCATTAATGTCTTTATCGCAAAGCAATTCATAAGATCATTTAGTATTACTTAGATAAGCCTAAAACATAGAGCAGATACAGTTTAAAAAATCATTCCTGGGTGGTGTAGAGAATGACCCTTTGGGGAAGAGCTGTGGCTGGCACTCATTGATGCCCTGGGAAACTTAGATGGAGCTGGATGCTCTGGCTGCTGATCAAAATTACCTGGCAGAGCTTAATCTTTTTCTTCAGAAGAGCTGGAAAATAATAATTTCCCTACGTGAATGAACGACTCTATCCTGAAGTATACCAGAGTAAATACTGGGAGAGCATCTGTTTAATTTTGTTCAACCGTGAATCACGCATGGCAAGAAGCATCTAGGTAAAGGAGTTACTGGTGTGGCACAACAAGAGCATGTTCACCAATTGGCACCAGGTTTTGTCCCCCATGTGAAGTGCTTAAGGACAAGCCTGGAATCACCTGAACACTGAAAACTATTTCATGGTTTGATTAAACAATTTTCCTACGAGAAGTTTTTTTTAAATAGTTCATCACCGTTGGGTGGGAGTAATAATCCAACAGGTAGGGAACTTGCCTTGCACATTGTCAACCAGGGTTTGATTCTGGTATCACATATGGTCTTTTGAGCACTGCCAGGAGTAATTCCTGAGTGTAGATCCAAAAGTAACTTCTGAGCATTGCAGTGTGTTATAAATAAATAAATAAATAAATAAATAAAAGTCCATTACTTTTAGCGTAAAATCAAACCCAAGTCTCCACTGTTTATCTTACTCTTTTTCCTTTGATATCATCCTGCGAAAAACTAGCCTACTAACAGCAGCATTAGGCGACTAGAGAACAGAATGTGTTAATAAAAAAGGTAGGCCTGGTGAAAGAAAAATATTAATAGAAGCATAAATACAGTATCTACTTTGCTGCTTCTTAGGTTTACCCTGAGCAGAGTGACTCTGTAAGTACAGTGAGTGGTCAAGGACCCAGAGACCAGCCCTACAGCAGAGGAGAAAAGCGGGACAGCAAGCTGGCTCTGAGTTGTTCAAGTTCCACTTTACTAAGAAAAAAACCATGTTTTAGTGTAAATTCGCCTAACTAATGTTTAAGCTGCTATTTTTGATGTTGTTGTTTTGGGGTCATAGCTGGCTGTGGTAATAGCTTACTCCTGACTGTGCTCAGGGACCATATGGGCTGGAGCTATAGCACAGAGGGTAGGGCATTTGCCTTGCATGCAACCGACGTGGCCCACCCTAGTTTGATTCCTCCGCCCCTCTCAGAGAGCCTGGTAAGCTACTGAGAGTTTCTCACCCACATGGCAAAGCTCCCCATGATGTATATGATATGCCAAACACAGTAACAACAAGTCTCACAATGTTACTGGGTGATGGATGAACAACGGGAGGACAGTGCTACAGTGCATGGGACCATATGTGGTGCCTGGGGTCAAACAATCCAGTCCTTACAAAACCTATGTGAGATAGAGTTGAATATCTATTTTACAAAAGATAAAGCTAACGCTCAGAGAGATTGTGATTTTTCTATGTCCTACAATGCTTAACTTGGACTCCAAATACAGAATATTTCTTTACACATAACTCCTTGGTGATATGCTTGGTAAGTCCTCAAGTTCATATAAACAAGACCAAGTTCTTGTTTTAAGTCGTAATTTTTAAGAGCAATCACTTAAAGGTGCTCATTCAGGTCAGAAGCCAGGGGTTTAGTACAGGGGTTTAGATGCTTGACCTTGCTTGCAACTGACTCTAGTTCAATCAGTCACCACATATGATCCCATAGCATCATCAAGTTTGATCCTTGAGCACATAGGAGTAAACCCTAAGCACCACTTGGTGTGGCCCTAAAACAAAACAAAAAAAGATATTCAAGATAATCACTGCTTCTGTCCCATTCTCTGACACTAGTCATTTTCTCCAAAAGATTACACTAAACCATAGTATTTTGAATCATGGATCACGGTCCTCCCGTTGTTCATCGATTTGCTCGAGCGGGCCCAGTAACGTCTCCATCATGAGACTTGTTGTTACTGTGTTTGGCATATCGAATACGTCACGGGTAGCTTGCCAGGCTCTGCCGGCGGGCGAGATACTCTCGGTAGCTTGCCAGGCTCTCCGAGAGGGGCGGAGGAATCGAACTCGGGTCGGCCATGTTGGCCGCTTGTAAGGCAAATGCCCTACTGCTGTGCTAAAGCTCCAGTATTTTGAATAACCACTGGAAATCATGGGTGGTATAAAAGCAGCAAACCCATATTAATTCTTGTCAAGTTTTGAAGACTAAGAATTTTTAATGGATGATAAAATTTCATCTCAAGTATATAAGGGCCCCAAAATATAAATATGTTCCAAAACATGTAATATGCCAGCAGATTCACAAAGGTTATATCCCACTACAGAAAACCCCTTAATAACTAGTCACCCTTCAGCTACTTTAGAATAAATTTCTTGCAAGTTTCCTCTAGTTTAGGAATTGCCTTAAAGGAAAAGAAGCTATAGAGTGGAGCCTGAAGTTCTCTTTATTCATGTAGAACTCACTATTCATTCATAAAGACTGTCTCCCAAAGTATCAGCAATATGTCCAGATAATTGTCCAGTTTTTGGGTTTTTGATTTTATTAAGATTCATGAGGATGAGATGTTCATGGTGGGAAAGAAAGGTTTGATGTGCATAGATAGGCACTGAAATCTGACAGAAGATGTTTTTTCCACTTCAACTTCATGGACACTGCAGTCTCTAACCCATTGCCAGAATATTCTAAAATCAGCTTTTAAAAAACATTAATAAAATCCAATTTCACTTGATGGCTCAAATATTCCTTCAGAGAAAAGCACATTCTTCAGTTTTATTCTACTGTGGTTAATATAATTTTATGTTAAGTTTCTACCAAGGAGTAATACGGCAGTGAGAAAGATAATCTCAGAGACATAAGGATTTAATATAATTTTACTGAACTTAAAAACATGATCTGAAACACACATTTAGGGAAAAATCTGAAAAGGTATAAATAAGCACTTATTTTTTTCTATTAAAAACTATTTTGACTGGCAACAAAACAACATACTTACCTAAGTTTTACTTTGCTTGTACAGATGTTGTCCATTCATATAGTAAAGTAAAGTAAAGTAAAGGCCCTCCCGTTGATCATCGATTTGCTCGAGCGGGCCCAGTAACGTCTCCACTGGAGACTTTGTTGTTACTGTGTCCGGCATATCGAATACTCTCGGTAGCTTGTCGGGAGCTGGAGTGATAGCACAGCGGTAGGGCATTTGCCTTACAAGCGGCCAACATGGCCGACCCGAGTTCGATTCCTCCGCCCCTCTCGGAGAGCCCGGCAAGCTACCGAGAGTATTCGATATGCCAAACACAGTAACAACAAAGTCTCCAATGGAGACGTTACTGGGCCCGCTCCAGCAAATTCATATAGTAGCTTCATAAAATCACCCAGAGCTTCTAAATTTAATGCATGTGCCTATCTTATTGCTTTGAAATCAATGGTTTTCTAGTCTGTTGAATAATTTTACCTGCAAAATCATAAGAATATGATCATTGCTTTTGATAGATTTCTTGGTAAAATTATTTTATCATTGTACCTGGAAATATATTGAGTTTTCATTTATATATCAAATTCGATTTCAGCCTGACTTCCTTATGACTGTTCCTCATTTTGTTAAATCCTTGCTCTTAATTCAAAGCAATCTAAATTTCACTTATTTGATTATACTACTTCTAAGTCATTCACCTTGTGTCTGATAAGTATTTATCAGATAAGTATCTTTTATAGAGATATTCATTAAAGAAAGATCTCTTTAGAAATGAAATCTCTCTTTATTAAACTTCATTGCCTAGAGAAAAAGTTTTGTTCACTCAGAATTTGTCAAAATTTAGCCTACAGTTTTGCAAAATAAATAATCATCAATACCTACTTTTACATCCTTGTAGAAAATTTTACTGTTACATTGAAAAAGTATATTATGCCCCAAAATATCATATGATGATGTAGAAGTATCACTTCAATTATGATTTTCTTCATTACAAACATTTCTAAATCCAAAATTCATTCATTTCAATGAAATTTTTATTTCAGTAAATAATATACACAAAGACTTAAAAAATTAGAATAGCCTAAACTCTTTCCCCAAAGCTTCCCTCCATTGCATGCATTATTATGACCCTTTTTGGATCATGAGCATGAATTATTTTATGGCTCTTGATCATAACCAAGATAACCTGAGTTTGCTTTCTGTCCTTAATATTATGCCTTATATTAGCATAATAATAATAGTTATTATTATCGTTTCTCCTCAGTACAAAGTGCCTCAATCTATCCCCAAAGAAAAAGTCTCTGTTCTCTCTGATTCAGATTTTCTTCTGTTGCAGATTGGATTTGAAGACCCTCCCCTCCAGGGACAGGCCACAGCAACAGGGAGTGGAAATGGAGCTGATTCTGAGCTGGCTCGGCATGTCTTTTCCTTTTCCTGGTTGAATTCCCTGAATGAGTGATGGTCATTTCCACTCAGTTTGTCTTACTAAAATAATATAGGCATCAGGGAACCTAAATGAAAATAACCTGATGCAGATTGATGGGAAGGACCTCTGAACAGGATTTCTGCAAATAAGTGAAATATAAACCTTCAGTTCCTAGTGACTTTTATAATACATGAAGGAAAATGAGTTTGAGGGGGCAAAAGTTGCAGAAAGCATTGGAAAAGAGAAATTTGATCTTATGCAAATCTTTTATTGTGTGGGAAACATTTTGATGAGTGTGTGGGTATGATGTGTGTGTGAGTCAGTAATAAGTGGCAAGTGTTGAAAAAAGTGGGCACTATATTAGTGTGTCTCATAGGTACTGGCTGATTAGTATGGCAAAGTAGCTCTTATTCTCATTCTTCCTTAACAATACAAGTGGTCAGTGAAATTTAGTGTCTATTCAGAAGTGACTGATTAATCAATAAATGGACAAAAGATAAAACATTGACCAAAGTTATGAAATATTTTGTGAAGATTTTTCTCTTTTTCATAATAGATGTTGTTGGATATATATTCAAAAATGTTCAAGTCTGGTGATACTTCAGCAGTCCAAAAGGCTTAAGATGTAGGCCATAGTTGTGATGTTTTTTTCCTAACTTAGTTTTAGCTATGCATATATCAGGCACTTTAATTGAAAAGGGTAGTTCTTCTTATAACAGCCACTGAGTTATCACTCTCATGATCTGTAGAACAGCTGCATGTATTTACATATATATCACATAGCAGAATTTAGATATATATATTTAAAATAAATTAAATATATATTTAAATCATGCTTTATTTGTCCCACCACAATGCCACTTTCAGAAAATAAGTATGACTTTACTCTGTATGTACTCTTAAATAAAGGCTATTTCTAATAATCTAGATTGTTTATTCAGCAGTTCATATTGTTTTATTCATTCATTCATTAAATGTCTTTAAAGTATCCCAAGGGAAGTATTTAGCATTTTATTGATTTTTTAAAAAAATATATATAAGTAGCTACCATAGGTGAATGTTTTGTAAAACTCATCAGGAGTACCTTCAGTTAAAGTAGTGAATAGTGATAGTTTACATTTTTAAGAATTATAGTTATTTGAGTTGGCATAAATAAAAGTGAAGAGGCTACATGTTGTTAGAGTTAAAATATTCTCTTTTGTCTTTAAATTTTCCCATGTGTCATTTTATAGCAATCAAACTTTATTGTCTTAGGTGGATATGCTATAGTGTCTCCTTTTAGAAGTAGGCATTGAAAAAGAGAATAGAAAACATATACTTTATGGCACCACAGTAGTAACCTTTATGATAAAGTGAGTATTATAGAAAAAGTGCAGAATTTTGACCCTATAATTTAGAGGTATGACCTGTATAACACTTCTCTTCTATCCCTCTCCTCTTTCTTCATTCATCTTCACAATCATCTCACCAATTATAGTTAGACTTAGATGTTATTTCTATTAGGAATCCATCCTAATTATAGAATTAAAGTTTTAAAACTGAAAGCAGCTTCTTAACTTATTGTGCTCAGACCCAAGGAGTAATTGGGGTCCAAGAGATGAGCTCAGGGAGATTGCAGGATATGTTTTAGCCACTGACATAAGTTTGTGTTTTAGTAGAATGTAAAATGCAGATTGACCTGGGGAAGTCAGTTTGAAAGAAGCCTGGAACTGAAGGTATTTCTCTTAGCATTGAAGAGGAAAAATAAAGTCATGTTTACCTTTGCAGCTTTTATTAAAAATATAAATATTCAACATTCTCTTAACAACCACGTTGACCAAGGATTGGAAAGATTTTTTTTATTACTGAAACAGTTACAATAAAATACTGATTCAAATAGCTTACAGATTTTGTCTCACTCCACCCAAGAGAATAACCTTTTCTTTGGTTTAGACCAAAACAAAATCAATGGTGACTTCTGTTTCTTTCTGTGAAACCTTTCCTCCTGCCTCAATATTCACTTTACAACACAAAAATATCTGGAATGGGAACAAAAACGTGGACCACATACAAACAACATTTTGTTGATTTGCTGCACGTGAATACACTAGGTGCATGCTAATTAAGGAATATAGGCTCTTTTGCTGTACATTCTCTACGTTTCAAGCTATATAAAAATAAACAAATGGTATCAGAGCAACGCTATGGTACAGAATACTGTGATTTTTTTTTAATTGTGTGTGTGTGCGTGCTAACTGCAGACTCTTTTCGGTCCAACGCCCCGTTTTATTTTCCAATGATCTCCATCAGTTTCCTGTTGCTGTGAGCTTGCTGCGCTAACTGCTCGGCCCGGGCCATTTCCAAGACCTCCCGCAGGAGGTGGAAGGTGAGATCCAGCGAGATGGGCGGCTCCTCCGACCGCCTCTCCCTCTCCGGCGCCTCCTGGCGGCCGCGGCGCGCGGGCTCGGCTCGGCTCTGGGCGGGACGAGCCGGGCTGTCGAGCGGGCGCCGGGGCAGCAGCAGCTGCGGCAGCAGCGCGCGGAAAAAGTTGGCGGCTGCCTCGTCGGGCGCTGGGCGGCTGCTGCTGCTGCTGCTCCTGCTGCTGCCGCTGCCGCTGCCTCCGCTGGCGAGAGGCGACGCGGCGGGCGCGAGGGGAGCGGCCGGGCTCTTGTTGAGGTTCCCCAGGCGGAGGAAGTATTCCTCCCCCATGCGCAGCAGGACGGGTCGAGCCTGCGGCTGCTGCGGCTGCGGCGGCGACTGCAAGAACTCCAGGGGCTGGGGATGCTGCTGCGGGACCTGCCGGGCTCCCGGGACCGGGCCCCGGCTGAGGATGGCCCTGCACGGCGGGCAGGACAGCAGAGCCACCAGCAGGACGCCTGCGGACACGAGCAGCGGCAGGCGCATGTTGGGGCGTTAGCTGCAGCACAAAGGTGGGAAGGGGGTGGGATGAGAAAAAGGGAGAGAGAAAGAAAAGTTGGTCAGAGTTGATTAGTGGCCGTGGAGTTGCAGTCGGGGGGTCGGCCTACCGGGTGTGGGGTGCAGGCGGGAGCTGTCCGCGGTGCTGAAGCTCCTTAGGAAGGACTTCGAAGTGGGCTTGAGCTGGGCAGCTGGAAAAGGGGCGTCTGCAGGGCTCGGCTGGCTGCAGGGACTCCTAAGAGATAGTCCGTGAGTCCCCCGCCCCTTTAACCATCCTCAACTCCGAGCCCCGCCTTCTAGAGATCTGTAGATTTAAGAGCTCCGCCGTTCTAATGCTCCCCCAGCCCTTTCTAAATGTTTCAGCGTTTTCCTACCAAATCGGGGACTACTATTACCCCCTCCCATACTTCCAACCCCTGCCCTGGCGACCTTATTTCTGGGTTCGGCACCGAGGAGGGGCTCCTGTACTCAGCCAAGGAGGAGTGAGTGAGTGAAAACTGTCACCCAACAACCAACAGCCGTCTAAGTTTGCTTTTGCCACATCCCAGCTACTAAGGGAATGTTGAGGTACGGTCCTTTGCGCGCGCGCGCGCGCGCGAACATACACACACATACACATATACACGCGCGCGCACACACACACACACACACACACACACACACACATACACACACCATGCACGCAAACACACGGGCAACGGCTTGGCTGCTCTGGCGGTGCAAAATTGGACGCGCGTTTCCGTCTAGGCGCTCCTTACCTTCTCTGGCGCGTGTGCAGGTAGATGCTGCCTCTCTGCAGAGCAAGGACTCCGGGAATTCTTTTCCCCAGGGGATTACCTCTCTTCTTTCTGTTGCCACACTTTTCCTTTCTCTCTTTCTCTGTCTCTGTCTCTCTTCTGTTTCTCTCTCTTCAGTCTCTTAACGGACGTGGGCTCTGAGTTTCTCCACCCCAAAGCCTGGAGTGGGGTTTTATAGCGTCGACCCTCTTCAGAAACCACGCAGCATTTGCTTAATAAGCTGACGCTCTCTTGACAGCTCGATTGCGTGCTGCCTCTGCTCCTGCATAAATCATAGGGCCCCTGCCAGGGAGCGAGGGGCAGAGTTTTGCTATCTCAACACTGAATCTCACATCCAATTATATCAACAGATATTTATCGCCTCCTTGGTGACGTCAACGAGCCCTAAAATGGAAGGGCTTCTTATGACTTGTCCATTGACAAAAATTCTTGAATGAGATTTCCCAAGTGTGAAAACATACTGACCTTACTATGAAAGACCAAACAGAGGGTCAGAAGAGAGCCGAAAGGAGGGGAGCGGAAGGGAAAGCGTGAGTGAAGGGACATCTATCAAGGTAATACACAGTCCTATGGTGAAAGCAGGCACCTCCTCTTCCCTCTCTCCTGACTTATCTGGCCAGTTGTCTCTGAAACAACTTGGTAAATGAAATATCCCTTTGCTAGAGACAAAGTGTTCCATCACCTTTGTCTGGATAAGAATGAAGAAAAAAGGAGATAGCAATGCAGGGACAAGCAGCTTTTAAGCCTCTCTCTATAATGTTTTTTTATGAGACTGCAGAGACCAAACCAATAAGTCTCTTAGACTGTCGATCCTTTTTTTAAAAAAAATGATAGAAAAGCTACTTCCACAGTGAAGGTGCAATAAACCTGAACCATCTGGATTTTAAATTCTCCCAGAACTTCACTGCTCCTCCTTTCTCTCCTCTCAAAATGAAAATTAATTTAACTTTCTTCTTCCCATTCCTAGTACTATTTCTAATTCCTGTTGTTTGTAGTCTTGAAAAAAGAAGACCAGTGAATGATTCATGAGTTAAACAATTGGTCTGTCCAATGCAAACCCAATGCAAGAAGCATCCATTCTAACTTCCTATTCTATTTTGCAAAAGGTTTAAATTGCTTGATAATGGGGATGAATTCTTTATTTTTAAATTCATTGATGAATATTAACTCCATAAAAGATCACTTTACTCATTTTACTTCCAAATACTGTCAACATTCATGAAATCATTCATTCATCCCATATCTGGGATGCCCATGTTGGTTTGTTTAATCATATCTCTTTCCAAATTCAACTATGTTCCCTGAACATATGATTTATAAAGAGGCTCTCTGGCACTACCTCAGGATGAAATACTTATAAAAATCACACTTACATTTTGAATTATATTGGCAATCATATATGTATGAAAGGTAGTTATTTCTAATTCTACAATTCAAAACGAAGTCCCAAATGGCTGTCTCTGACTCCATTTAGTTTCTATACAATAATCCAAGTTGTTTACCAGAAATTTCCTGTTCTTTGTGTTACCTCTAATGCTTTCTTTGTGATAACATGACAAATGATGTAATACACATTTCAACTCTGATTTCAGGTTTATAGTAATCCTCAATTGCTCTTGGAAACACAAGGTAGATAGGAAAATTCTGACACCTTCTATAGTTGAATCATTACAATATAAAACATGCTCTTCTTTTGAGGTGGTGCTTGGAATCTAAATGCAGGGTACCATGCATGCAAGGCAAGTAGTCTACTGTTCAGTCATATCCTCAGGCCTTGGAATGTACTTAGGACATAAGAAAAATCTTATGGAAAAGATATGACTTGTGACTTATTAATAGAAGATTTATGGAAAATATTGAGCTTTGAGAAGAAAGTTTTGTTTTATTTTGGTAGGAAGCACACGGAACAATAGTTTTTGTTATTGTAAGCTTTCTCCTGCTTAAAATTGGAATAAATCTCAACTTTCTTGCTTACCTTCATACCAGCATGGTCCCCATTGGCAAATTTCATCTTGGATGCTAATCTGGAGGTTAGCATTGATTTAGAATAGGAAGTTCAGGTAAATGGATACAAAAGAAGAACTAGGAAAGGAGATGAGTTTTATGGGCACATGTAGGAGGTTGGTTCTTCCAGAAAAGATTCAACATATTTTGGGATCTAGAAAATCAAATTTCTCTCCTATTGGACTATATGAAGGCATTTTATATAGCTTTCCACTACTGCTGAACCCCACTCAGGATTTTTTGAAATAGAATGTTGGTGTGGGGACGAAGAAGATCTGACTAGAGGTGAAAAATAAAAGTTCTGCAGGAGGAACTGTGTAGAACAGCCAGTACTTATCACAGTTTAATCAAACAGATTTAATTAAATCATTTTATGTGAGAATTGGAAGTGATTATTTGATTTATCTAATACTGGGGAGTTTGAGTGACTTGCCTGAAGTCATTCAACTAGTCTGTGGTAAAGTCAGTATTAGAATTCATTCTTTTGACTATCCGTGTGTATTATTGCTATAACATAGCTAAAGTATTTTTTTCAATAGGAGTCACACAAACAAATTGAGTTGAGGTTAATTTGAGTAAAACAACACTTTTTTATGGAGGGACTTTTATACTTTCATTACCATGATGAAATCTCCTTAGGCATGAGAATACAAATATGGGCATAGATACCCTAGTACTTCATTTGCCCCTTTTTATATTATACTATTTATTTTTTGAGTCATATTACTGATGGAGTCATAACCCCATCCCTGCCATTCCCTTTAACCTTTATTTGCCTCTGCTATGCTTTGGTAATCTCAATTTTACTATCACAATCCAAAGATTTGGTTTCATTTGCATTATCCATTCTGTCTCTTTGTCTCTTTACATACCACTTTTGAGTGAGGATTTTTGTCTCTAATATATTTCACTTAATAAGTCTTCCTCTATTACCATCCAAGTTGGAGTAACAGGATTTTTTATGACTATCAACGACATTTATCCTCCTTGAATAAAAGACCCCAATAAAGTCAGAAAAGTGTAAGGAAAAATAATAACTTCCCTAGACTCTAGAATCTAAATATAATTTGCTGTTTCCCTTGAATTTTTTTTCTGAATTCATACACTACATGTAATTGATTTCTACTGTGTTCCTAAGTGTGAATCTCTGCTTAAAAGAAAACTCACTTAAAACTTAAAAGTGCGGGGCTGGAGCAATAGCACAGTGAGTAGGGAGTTTGCCTTGCATGCAGCCAACCTACGTTTGATTCCCAGCATCCCATATGGTTCCCTGAGCACCACCAGGAGTAATTCCTGACTGCAGAGCCAGGAGTAACCCCTGTGCATCGCCGGGTGTGATCCAAAAAGAAAAACAAAAAACAAACAAACAAACAAAAAACCCTTAAAAGTGATTTTCATAGGTTTTTAGACTGGCCTTAAAAGCTGTGCTCTCATGTATGCCAGGTATGGCCTCCTCATCAAGTCACACTTTATAAATTGTTACTGGTACAAAATGTGTTGTCCTTATTGAATAAAGGCAGAAGCTTGGTTGCCTTTACAGTGAAATTTCCATGTTCGTGCTATTCCAACCCTAGCACAATGCCACAACATACTGAGAGTTCGATTCCTCCACCCCTCTTGGAGAGCCCAGCAAGCTACTGAGAGTATCTTGCTGGCACAGCAAAGCCTGCAAAGCTACCCATGAAGTATTCGCTATGCCAAACACAGCAACAATTGTCACGATGGAGACGTTACTGGGTCTGCTTGAGCAAATCGATGAATGGGAGGACAGTGACAGTGATCTCCAAATATATATGAGGTCCATAAGGTACATTTTATGAGTTCAGGCATTTCTCAGAATGTTTTTTGGCTCAGATTTTAGTGATATTTTTGCAAGGTGTATACAGATCTGGGTTGAGCATAATCTTCCTTGAGAACTGTGAGTGCACTGTCTGTTTTTTATCATCTAGTGCTGCTGATAATAAATTCATGATGCTAATAAATTCTATTTCTCATTTGTTAATAGGATCAGTTTTTCTAAGCTCATTCACTCTGGAAGACCATAGAAGATTCTCTTTGTTGTTGATGGTCTGAAATTTTATGATTATGTCTGGGTCTGTTTTAGTTTATTAACTTTAATTTGAAGTTTCTTTAAGTGTGATGAAAATATTTTGAATTATTTCTATATTTTCCTCCATGTTCTCTATCCTTACTTTCTGGACTTCTATTAAAATTTTGGGTGTGCACTCATGCTTATTATTTTCACTATTCTTAGAATTCCTTGTTTGGGAATCCATATTATGGAAGTGCTATTAAATATCCTTCAGCTCTTTGTCTGGTTTACTTTATAACCATATCAGACTGCCAGATATGGTTTCTATAGCTATTTGTGCTAGAGAGTTTCCTGAAATATCTTAAGACTAAGTATGAACAAATGAGAGCATTCTCACGTTTAAAATTTTCATAGCATAAAGTCACTTAGAAAGTTTTTGTGACTTATGCTATGGTGATGAGATGTTGATCACTTTGGGGGATTAGTGACACATTATGAAGCAATCTTTTATGATCTGTTCGATTTTATTAAAGCAAAATACATATATGAATTTACTAGTGATGCCACCACAAAGTACCAAAGAAACTGGTTGATCTAAACCATACAAATATATTTTCCATGAACTATTCTAAAGATTAGAAGCCAAAAACAAGATGTCAATAGGATTGATATGTTTTAAAGCCTCTTTACTTGATTTGCGATGACCAACTTTTTGCAGACCTTAAAAGCTGTTTTCTCTGCCTCACTTTTGAAGAAACCACTTCATATTTTCTGTTTTTCTGATTTCATAAGTTTCTTAGAGTCCCTGGCCTCTTTGGGTTTATAACCATGAACAGATTTTGGAAAGAGCTAAAAGAAACATGCAGAATAGATTGGAGGGACAAGGTGATAGACAAATTAGTTATAATTCTTGAGTTATCACCACTTATTTGTACTCTCCAGAATGAATATCACAAGCCAGTGCTAACAGGAGCAGAACAAGACAATGGTGGGGCCTTCTGTGAACTGCTCTAGGAACCAAGACACTGCCAGTGGGCATCCACACACTTGTTTATGAGTTGATGGGGCAGAGCTTTCAGTTCCTCCATTAAGAGTCCTCTCAGCTTCCAGAAGTCATTACTGGGTGCTTCATCTCCTTTCCTCCAAAAATAGCAAGGAATTTGTTACCTGTCCCTTAATTTTTCCAGAAGTTACGAAGGCATCTCCTGGGGAGATGACTCAGAGCATTAGAAAAGGGGCACGTTTCTGGTTTCTGCTTCTCTAACAAGCCCTTGTCTT